TGCTGTATTTTGCAAACAGTGTAGTGCAACAGGCTGTGTAAACTAATATTCTTTGGTGTAATAAATAGCACTTCAACCACCAGTATCCACCAGAAAGGTGTCAGGGAGCTTGGCTCAGCAGACTCATCCTAATATGTAATCATGTGTGCACAGCTAAATAAATATACCAAAATAGAATAAAGGGGCCACCATTCGCACCCTTCATGATCTACCAGCATCAGCTTTGAGAGCTACTGGTAGATCACGATCTACCTAATGGGCACCCTTGGTCTAGGTAATGCAGGGGATCTGAATCAGAAAATAAGCAGGATAAATAGTATAGGAGGAAGTGGGATGATCGCAACGCCCCCAGCCAGATGTTGGAGCTGAGCAGCTAAAAAGTGAAGCCATGGATTAGGGGCCACTAATCCTCCAAGATTCTTAGGGCATTGCAAGTAACCCAGTCTAATTCTCGAGCACCTTTTCTGCCAGATAAGGGCTCTAAAGACCGTGGTAAACTGTTTAAAAAATCTAATAGGCATCCAGCATGGAGAATTGAGTAAAAAGTAAAGGAGCTGAGTCATGCAGATCATTTTAAGTAGGTTGGTACGACCCACCACCGTCAGAGGAAGTTTGCACCAGAGTTTACATTGAGACTGGAAATGATAAAGTAAGGATATTGGGAATAAAGTCACAAATGTGAGAAGAGATAAGCACATCAAGATATTTCAATAAGGACACTACTGAGATCCTAGGTAGGGTTAAGAAATCAGGTAACGGATCCAGCAGAGCAAGACAGATTTTTCCCAATTAATCTGCAAGCCAGAATTAGTTCCAAATTGTGAGATAAGAGTCATAACCATGGAAAGAGAGGAGGCAGTGTCAGACAAATACATCAAAATGTTATCTGCGTATAATGCTATCTGGTCTTCAAATTGTCGACTGTCTAACTAGAGCTGCAAGGGGTTATATTGCTATAGCAAATAAGAGCAACGACAAGGGACAGCCTTGTCTAGTTCCACGGTGCAGGGGAACCATTTACTCTAACGGAAGCCACAGGAGCAGCATATAATAACCCATTTTCTAAAAAAAATTCCAAAACCTCCCAGACATATTCCTATTCCACACTATCAAAAGCCTTCATGGTATCTAAGGCTAACAGTGCTCGATATCCAGGGAATCACTTGGGACATGAAGATTCACAAAAGTATGCCTCAAGCTGCCCATACACCTTACAATTTATCTGCAGATTTTCTGTGGTTAGATGGAAAAGGTGCAACAGATTCCTCCATCTACGCTAAAATGTGTGGCTGGAGTAATCTCCACCAATCTGTTGCACTTTTTCTATCTGACCACAGAAAATCTGCAGATAAATTGTAAGGTGTGTGGGCACCATAAGATTTGTAGCAGTAGAAAGGTTTGGCATTAAGCCAGTCTGGTCCAAGTGAATTATAGAAGTGATAACTTTATTAAGTCTATTCGCTAAAATCTTGGCTAAGATCTTAAAATCTGTGGGCAAAAGAGCAATAGGGCAATAGGATTTAGGCAGTCTTTTTTCGGGATCACCACTATGGAAGACTCATACATAGTAGAGGGAAGAAGTCCAGTCTCATGCGCCTCATTAAAGGTTTGTAAAAGGAACGGAAGCAAGGTGGGGGCCGAATTGCTTAAAAAATTCAGCTGGTAGACTGTCAGAACTTTGTATTTTACCTGACTGAAGCGCCGCCACCGCAGTCTCCAATTCCTCCAGCGTTAAAGAGGCATCAAGAGTGGATGCATCTGGCCCTGACAGTAGGGTTAAAGTAACAGTATACAAAAAACACTGCAGGCCTGAAGTCGAGTAGGTAACCCTAAAAGAAAAAAAAGCACGAAAAGAGCCCAAGATCTAAGATGTGGAGATAACTGGTCAGACTCTTTCCGGAGAGCACCAACATGGTGGGGAGCAGATTGTGAGTGCGCAATCTGTGAAAGCAATCTACCTGCTTGCTCACCCTCTGCCCAGGAGAGGCGTTTCTGGAAGAATTGTTTATTCTGAGCTTCCTGCAATAATAGGTGTTCTAGCCCATTTTGTAAGCACTACCATTCAGCTTTGTTTGAAGGGGTGGGGTTACTGACAAATGCCATTTCAGCTTTCAGTACATTCCCATTGGGTTGCTCCACCTCCTGACGGGTGGCTGTTTTAATGCAACACATCTCTTTAATGAGAAGAACCCATGCATAGGCTTTTAAGGTATCCCAGACCAGTCCACAAGGGGCAGTACCCTAATTTGTTGTTTGAAAGAAAGAAAGAGCTTCCCTAAAAGAATCAGGGGAGGGAAGTAACTGTTGCCAAAAGTGTTTAAGATGCCAGGAAAGACCTTGTCTGCCACACCCAGTGTAAAATTGTACAAAAAGGGGGGAATTGTCTGATACTCCCCTGGGTGAAATGTCAACAGAAGTAATATAGGGCAGCAGTTCTGACGTGCCTAAGGCCAAGTCTATACGGGAAAGAGAGTTTTGAGATTGAGAGTGCCATCTACACTGAGTAGCAGCGGGGTGAGACATACACCGAAGGTTATGAAGGCCAAGTTCCACACTGAGTTTGCTAGAGGGGGTGGCAGGGTCCGCTGGAACATCCTAGGGGGAGGGGAATTTGTCCAGCAAGTAATGCACAAAATTATTTCAATTCCCTAACAGCACTGGAATCGGAAGCAAGCCAACCAGGAACTTAGCTAAACAGCGCAGCACCTCTGGAGAGTAAGGTGGAGGTATGTATGCATTTGCCAGTACACATTAAAAAATGGGAAATTATAAAGTGCAAAAAGTCATAACGACCCAACTTATTCAGTTCCATTTAAATATTGCGAAAACACAGTGCCCCTGCTCACCAGAATAGACACCCCCCTGGGGAAAGGAGGAATACACTGAGTGATAGGGAGATTGAATGTTACGTCTCTCGAGGAGGCGAGTTGAGTCAGCAGAGGCATGCGCTTCCTGTAAACAAATTAAAGAGGGCTGATATAGACCAATAGTTCGCACCCGCACATTCCAGGAGATAACATTTACAGCAGGGACTGACATCCAGGGCTGGATTTACTCTCTCTGCAGCCCCGAGGCCAGGTTCCTCAATGTGCCCCCTCATGCCAACCCCCCTCCCCCCACCAATGGAGAATGGCAACCAGATCGTGGGGGCAGCAGGGTTGGTTATAAAAAATTTTCTTTATTTTAAAAAAAATATTTTTCTCACTTTTACATTTTTATTTATCTTATTATCTTTTACTTTTTATATTTTTTTTTACTTTTTTTTAAATCAATGTATTGTTTTTATTGTAATTATTATTTTTTATTATCTTTTACTTTTTTATATTTGTATTTATTTTATTATTTTTTAATTTTTATCAATTTTTTTCACTTAACTTTATTACTATCACACAGGAGCTAACAAGCCCCTGTGTGATAGCATTTGCTGGTGACATGTTCTCTTTATTGAACCTGTCACCTCCAATACAGGAGTTTTATCACAGTACTGTGCTGGCTTTCCTGTGGCAACTGAGATGGGAAGGCTGCGAGTGCAGCAGTCCTTTCTCAGTGTTCCATGCTCTCCATCCTGAACAACTCTGCCGTGGTCCCAGGTCCCCGGAAGAGCTGAAGACCCTGAAAAACATGGCGGGGATGGAGGAGGCTGGCAAAGGCAGCCGGAGTTGGGGTGGACCATGGGGGGGGGTTAGATTAGCAGACTAATTACAAGTGATCTTGCAAAATGAGCTGCAGCTTCCCCGCTCTACATTTAGCTGTGCTAAAACAACTGACATAGCATATAGTCCGGAACAATAATAGCTGGCAATACAGACCAAGGACTAGCAGAACATAGGACAAAGTGCAGTAGTCCATTGGGTGTGTCTTTAAAATTGTGTAAGGGGTTCTTTATGGTTAGAGCAGTGAAAATGTGGAACTCCCTTCCTCAGGTAATGGTAGCAACAGAGAGTGTTCATAGCTTCAACAAACTCTTATATGTCTTCCTCAGTGAGCATAATATACAGAGGTACTGCAATCCAAGGGGCTCGTCCCCACATAAGTGGCAGACTTTACCACCCCTCTAAAAAGCTTTCCAACGTGAATTGCTTTTCAGAGGGTGGTAAAACAGCAGCTTGCAGGCATTCAGGAGGCAATACTTCTTCCTCCCGAATGTCTGCTGTATCATTTTTGCCACACTGCGAAGCAAAGCATTGAAGACTCAACGGTGCATACAGCACTGTCTGGTTGTAATAAATGGGTGACAGGGCAGTGATAAAAATGTGGAGCATCCACCTGATTTTACTTGGCCCCTTGGCTTGCATTCAGTGCACAGTATAGCAGTATAGGTGCGGTGTGTTGCCATTCATTTGTATGGCAACCCAATACCCATCCTGGCGGACGTGCGTTGCAGTGCAACACGCTGTACCACAATCCCGTGCATTGCAATGGGGAAAAAAAGTGCTGCATGCACTACTTTCTTCACAATCCATGGTATTGTGGTAATGTGCTCAGAGGTGCATTGGGGTGCTATACAAATGAATGGCAATGCAGCGCACCTAGTGTGCAGCGCACTAAATGCACAGATCCAATGCGTTTAGTGCAACGCTCTGCTGTGAACGAGCTCTTAAGAGTCTCAAACTCACACATGTTGAACCTAATGGACCTTTTTCTAATACGTTGTTTTCTTTCTCAATGACTGGCTTTGCCCCCGATCAGCCTTCTGTGCGATGCCAGCTGTATCTCTTCCCCCTGCTCCCATTCTCTGTCCTCCCCTCTACATCCCTTTCATTTGAGAACCATAAAAGCCTATTTGAAAATTTCGGCTCTCCCCTTCGGGCTCTCATTGGCCGGTCGTCTACCTATGGGCGTGTACTGCATCCCCTGCTCCTCCATTGGTTCGTGCTATGTTCCAGTCCTACCTATTGTTCCTGGCGGAGATGTGCAGCTGATGCTTCCATCATTTCAGTGGGGGTATGGATCAAGCCCGGGGGTCACAAAGCTACCCTCAGGGAGGATCAGGATGAGCACAGGAGCCGTGGACCCCCCATTCGTGCCAGGGGACATCCTGGGGTACACAGGGAGCACTATCACACTGACTGGCATCCAGGCACCATGGGCAGTCAAGGAGACTGCAGTGTCAGGGTGGCACTGAGGTAGGCGGCTATGCCATGCTGATATAACGTGCAGATTTTACCGATCGATAATAAAAGAGACGTGCGGATGATGATGAGGACGTTGTGCATGTCATTACTATTGGCAGCTATGAATGTTGGGTGGCAGCTCTCCTCCCTGGCGCAGGCGATCGCTGACATTTGCTGATGCACACATAACCCTGGTCTTCAGTCAAACTGCTGACTTAAGAAATGATATAGGTCTTTGTCTGCTGCATCAGGACAGCGATGACATTGGCAGGAATAGATGACAGTTTTCAGTTGCAATGAGGGGCGGCTGTAAAGTATCACACACGGGAGAGAGGATGAGGATGTCTATTTGTGACAATCTTATAGGGAAAATTCGGGCACTGCAATTGCGATCGCCTTTATGCGCTGCTGCTGCTGTGTGCCTGCATTACATGAGATCACATGACATGTGCCTGTCACATGGTGTCCTGCCATCAGACAATATCCCATGTGTTTGTAGGTGAAAGGAAATGCAGCTGTTAAGATACATGCTCCCATCTTTATTTCTTGTTAGTCATATTATCTTAAGCAACCCCTAAAATTGGAAGTCTTGCGTTACTATATCCTGTGAGCTGTTGTTTCTTTCACAAATTCCTGTACCCACTCAAATATATTTTGGTGTATGCTTTAATAATTACTGGGTCAGAAAGTTGAGACCCATGGTTTAAGATGGTGTACTTTGTTTAGTGCCGGTACAACTATTTGTTTTGTAAAATTAAACAATGAAACATTTTGGGTTTATGTTACACAGCTAAGCGTTTTGTCACGTGCTTCCCAAATTATTATTAGTATGCAGGATTTATATAGCGCCAGCAGTTTGCGCAGCGCTTTGCAAAACTAAGGGAGGCAATACAGTTAACAATACAATTTCAGCATAGGAGGTAGGAGGTCCCTACTCATGAGAGCTTACAATCTAGTAGAAGGGGCAAGTGATACAAAAGGTAATAACTGTTTGGGATGATTTAGTGGAAGAACTGAAAGTACTGTTATATCAAGGTGGAATAGGTCTCCCTGAAGAGATGAGTAGGAGATAGGTGGACAGATTGGGGTATGGAGTTCCAGAGGATGGGAGACGCTATTGAAAAATCCTGGAGGCGAGCATGGGAGGAAGTGACAAGAGAGTTGGAGAGCAGGAGTTCTTGGGAACGGCGAAGGAGGGCAGTTTGGGGGATATTTTGAGATGAAGTGGGTGATATAGGTTGGGGCAGAGTTGTAGGTGGCCTTGTGGGTGGTCCGATTCTGGCCGGAACGCACTGCATCGCATTGCGGCCAGCTCACTTTTTTTGTGTGGCAGGAGGGGGCGTGACGGGCCATTGATGTGAATTGCACCGTAGCCGCACCCTCAGGCCGCAATGCCACGTTCGGCTGATCGCATTGCGGCCGGAGGTCATGGCTATGGTGCTATTCACTTCAATGGCCCGCCACGCCGCCTCCTGCCCCACAAAAAAAGTGTGCCAGCCGCAAAGTGATGTGAACGTACCCTTATTGTTAGTATTTTGAATTTTATACGTTGGGGAAGTAGGAGCCAGTGTAGCGATTGGCAGAGGCATCTGCCGCGAAGTGGCAGATGTCTTCACAGTGGCAGCCTCATGGTGAATTGCCTCAATCTTATCATTGAGAAGGATTGTCATTATCGATTATTATCTATATGATCACTTAGTTGTCGCAGCCCTAATGCAAACAGTGGCAGCAAAGCAAATCAGCTATTCTTATTGAAGTTAAAGGGATATTAAAGTCAAAAGGCTTTCAAGCTATTTTAAATCCATTTACAATGGATGCTGCTCCTTGAATTTTAAAAGTTTTAGTTTCCTTCAGAATCAGGTGATTTCCTGAGCACTGGCCCTGATATCCTGTTTTAGGTTGTCTCCTTTGCCTTTCAGTGTCCTATAGAGCCACCCTTGTCTGTACTAGTAAGCTGCGTGTCTCCACAAACAGACACAGCAAGGTAATCCACTCTCCTGCTTCAACCTCCGCCTTCCTCCCTTCCCTGAGCTAGTATATGGTTAACTACTGGAGACTGTTCTGTCCCTTGTGATCCTGTACTGGCCAGGAAGTTCAGGGAAGCTGAGCTGGAGATGTTAGAGTCAGCTGTTTAGAACCATGATGACTGTAAGGGCTTGTTCACGCTATAGCCATAGAGGAAGCCTCCCTGCGTTGTGGGGCAGGAGGCGGCGTGGCTCTGCCATTAATGTTAATGTCATTAATGTCACCACGGGCTCTGCTGTGCCGCGCATTCTGGTGTGGGCGATTGCACTGCAGACAGGAGGCGTGTCTGCGGTGCCATTGACATTAATGGCACTGCAACGTTCCCTATTGCCCCAGAACGCAAGGAGGCTTGGTCTATGGGATCCAGTGCATTCTGGCCACTAACCATGCCGGAACACACTGGAGAATTTATCAAAACTGGAGCAGTTGCCCATGGCAACCAATCAGCATCTCTCTAGTTTGCTCTGTTGAGAGATGCTTAATGGTTGCCATGGGCAACTGCTCCAGTGAGAGATAGAAGCTGATTGGTTGCAGTGCAAATCTGCTCCAGATTTTGATTAATTCCCACCACTGTATATAGTGTGAACAAATCCTAAGGCCCCGTTCACACTGAGCGATTTATCGCACGGTAATTCCCGCGATATCGCGGCTATTTACCGCGCGATATCGCTCTCCAATGCATGACAATGGGGCTCTGTCCGTCGCGGGTCGTGTGTCGCTACAGCAGGACCCTTTTTGGAGAGGATTTTGCCGCCATTCTAGGTTGCTCAATGCAATCATTTGCGCGATATCGCGCAAAATGCAAATTGCGCGACAAACGCGCGATTTGCGAATCGCTCAGTGTGAATGGGGCCTAAGGCTTGCTTCACACCTAGGCGATTTTTTTTAAAGCTGTTTTTGTACGCTTGTTGTGGTTTTTTTAACGATCTTTTAAAAATCGTGCAAAAATCATGTGGTTCTCAATGCATATGGGTGTCTATGAGACCAAAACCGCGCGATATCCGCCTATATATATAGCGCCTGCATCTTTTTGCATGACAGGCAATATCGCACACATGACACAACTCTAAGGTGTGAACTAGCGCCATTGACTTGTATGGGTTTTTGTGCCTTGTGCATTATCGCGACTGAATCCACGCAATAAAATGCCTAGGTGTGAACCAAGCCTCAGGCTAGATTCAGACTTGAGCGATACCCGGGACACGCGTCTCGGAACCGTGCGATCGTGTGCTAGTGCACACAGCAGTTGCCACGCGGCCCCTTTGATTTCAATGGGGTTACATCCGTGCGGCAATTGTAAAAAAAGGTGCAAGTATCTTTTTTTGCCACACACCACGCACTGCTTTTTTAGCTGTGATGGCGATCAATTGCACAGGCAGGCTCGAGGCGGGACAACGCATGCAAAATACTTTGCTGGCTAATGTATATTTGTTTTAACTGGATTCAATATTGAAAGAAGTTTGAGAGTTTAATACTACGTTCGTTTTTCAGGGTTTTAGGAAAGTGTTTCTAAGGTTTTATTACAAAATCCCACCATGAATCCAGGGCATGTATTCAGCAATTATTGTGTGTATACAGAACAATAATTGTACCAAACAAAACAAAGCTTTACAATAGTGTAAAGGAACATCCTAAATATAGGTAATTGATCAACAATATACAGTAAAGCATAATATTTTTGTTATGGATGAGTGAAGCAGGATTGTGGCTGTGTTTGCCCCGTCCCAGACAAAAGGTTTGTATAACATAGTGTTTCAGAATGCAGTTGTCTGTCACCAGCTGAGCTATCTCTCTCTCAGGCTTTGTCTCTTCTATGAATGTTTCCTGTGTGTTTTTTTTATATGGGAAGTGCAACTTCCTGAGTCGATTTAGTTGGTTTGCAAAAAAGAGATTTTGTAGCAGAAGAGAAATGAAATGTGTAAAAAAAGGAAATTAGCTTGCCAGCAGTCCTAATTTACACACTGTGCTAATAAAATGTTCCAAATGGGAAATACAGCACAGCTGTATGTCACAAGAACGAACCAGTGACCACATGTCCAGAAAGGAATATTGTGTGTTTACAAACTTAGAACTCTTGTACACTAGACAGCCCCATCTATTTAATGCATTAGTCTCATTTTCTTCCTAGTTTAGAGAGTGCTTGATCATTTTCTGAAGGGCTTGGGCCCCATTCACACCTGTAAGTTTAGGTGCGTTTAGGGATTCCTGCATTAGGAATTTGCATTTTCCTGCAGCGGGAATCTCCTATCTGCTGTCTTCAAGTTAATGATCGGGTGAGAGCCACTGCGTGTAAACGCCGGAACACCGCATGTAATCATATGTGATACAACCGTTTGATGCATCCAGGGAGAGTAACTGATATCTCTATAGGTTGAACTCGATGGAAATGCGTCTTGTTTTTAACTATGTAACCACATGAAATTGCATCACATATGATTACATGTGGTGTGCCTGCATTTACATGCAGCGGCTGGCACCCAATCATTAAGTTGAATGGGTGACAGCTGCCGCTTGTAAACGGCAGATCAGGGATTCCTGCTGCAGGAAAATGCAGATTCCGGACGCAGGAATCCCTAAACAGACTTAAACTTACTGGTGTGAATGGGGTCTTAAAGTGTATTTGCATTTTTGCTGTCAGATGGGCTTAACACCTACTTAATATTTGTTACATGTTCTCATTCACATAACATAATAAAAAATGCTGCTTACATATTCCTTGTTTTTTTTCTGAAAACTATAAAACCTGAAATTTCCTCTGCTATGTAATGTTAGGTTGAGGGCTGGGGACTTCAAAGAACTATAGGCAAACTTTTTTTTTGGCTATAGTTCTCTTCGGTCACATTTTCTTTTTTTTCTGTTTAATATATATTTATTAATTTTTCATACATTTCACATAATTTGTCACATTTTACACAACTGACACACATTCAACAATAATACAAAACAAGACTATAACA